ATTGTGACATCCCTTCAACAGAAGTGAGAGCTGTTCTCCCATTAACACAGAGTTCAGCACAAATCGTTGCAGAAAAGAAAACTGGGTTTACAGAAAACAATCTGAGCCATGAAGCTGAGGCAGTTGGTCCTGATTTTATATTGCCTGATATTCCCAGAATTAATTAGGATTCATGCCTGGAAGATTCACAACGGATGCATTCTTGGTCGCTAGATAAGAGAAAGAAAAATTTCGAGGAAAGCGACGACTCTGCTAGCCTTCGTCGTCCTGAAAAAGGCGTTCGACCATCGCGAGCAATACTTATAGAGAGTACTCAAACGATGGAACGCCCAGAGCACCTGATCTTCGTTATGGGATATGTGCGATGGGGCTAAGGCAACAATACGCACCCCGCATGGCTTGAGAAAGAAAGTACTAACATCACGGTTGGGTTGCATCAAGGATCAGCTCTGAGACACCTCCTCCTCCTAACAGTTCATTCAAGGCAAACTCTCAATGTTAGACCTAGCTGGGGCTTGTGAGACCTTACACCATAGAGAGTTCAAAACTTATATTTTCAAATCTATTCGAGATTATGGAGATATCTCACTACTGCCATCTTGGTAAGAAGCACTCTGCCGAACTATGGCTAGATTGCCTAAAACCTCCGAGAGCTCGCGTAGAGTCATCAATTCAATGTAGTCATGCGATAATCGACTTGCGAACCGTATTTGGGGAAAAACTATCCCCGAACATGCTGTACCTGAGGTGCACCATCATTCGAGAAAATTCGCTCTCACCCATCGTCTTAGCGATGTTTTCGGCAGTAAGGCTCGAAAAATCCAGTTGGTACTTACGGGGATTGAGGCTCATAGAACTGTTTTGAAGAATTTGGATTCACGTCTACGGAAAGGAACGAGCAAATAAGCTCGCTAGCTTTTCAGTTTTCCCGCCATATCACGAAACTTTCCACAATTTCCAGAGATTTTGATGGCTTGGAAATAATGAGACATCCACAGAAAGCCGCCACACCTCTTTACGAATATCAGTTCGGCAATGTGCTGGGTAGCGCCCTTGTTTTTGTAGCGCACTAGGTAACATATCCTGAAAAAGAGCGCGCTGTAAGTGCGTAATCATGTTCAATTCCCACACTACAAGAAAAAGAGGCGGCGAGAAAAAGGATGAAGGATGGCAGAACGAGAAGTTCGTTCATTTAGCTCATGCTTGCAAAAACTGCTATGTTGCAAAAATCACAAAGCCTTAAATCCAGGACAACAACCACATCAATCACACCAAGGCATACACTTGGCCGTCCATTCATCCACGACAAGGCAGTGTTGCAAGACCCTGCGCTATTTTAGTGCACGCTTATAGGATGCTGTTGTATCAGTGGAAGTATCTAACAGTGATATTGCAGCTAAATGCCCGCAAATGAACAACGCACTCAAGAAAAAGCTAAATCATGAAAAAAATATGTCGCCTAAAGAAACTCATGTATTTGTCCTTTTTTGTAAATGCTGGACCGTTTATGTCGATGAGATTTTAGAGTATCTGTGATATACAGGCTAGCGGTGTGCAAGATTCTGCCTTCAAACTGCTACAAGGTGTTTCGATTCAATTGTTCTACCATTATCAATCATGAAAGTGTGGAGCACGACAAGACTTTCTTGCAGCTTTCGAAATTTGCGGGAGTGTTTAGTTTGCGTGGCTGTATGTTTGTCTAGTTACGCTTTGCAAGTTATTTTGTTCGCTGGGACTTTTTTGATTTAGAAGGCTCCAATTGTTTCAGATTGTTATCGGACTGCTCGTTCACGGGCGACCAGGTTCTTCCGGCTGAGGTTGTCTTCATGCTGACTATCGTATCCTCTGCCGCTCCCGTCCCCAGATTTGGTCTTACCTAGTTCTTATCCACCTGTGAGTGTACTGAATATTTGCAAGAGGAACAGCAGAGATTTATTTTGCTCTTGGTAATGATAAAATGTTCATTGAGGGGGGATTCCACGATAAGGTCCGAGTTTGAAGAACAGAATACTAAGCTGTTGGAAAAACACGCAGATCCCCAAAGTTTAGGCACGCAATTCGTAGTGAAGGATGTGCCCCGGCAACTAGCATGGCCGTCCTCGCGGCGCAATCAACGTGGCACGCCCACTGACTGGCTAACCATCGCCGCATCGCAGGTCTCTAGCCGTTTAGCAGAGAGAGAGAGAGAGAGAGAGAGAGAGCGTTGAAGAAGAGAGCACCGATGAGAGTCGCATCAATGCGGAAATCAAAGGGCAAGGAAACAGTCAATTCCTTGAGTTTTGACCTGATCCTTATAATTTCTTCTTCATCCCGGCATCACTGACCACTCTGGCTTATTAATAATGTTCTGCCTTCCAATTGTAACCTCCGTCGTTGAAGATTCCTCGATATGGAAGCGAGTTCATGTATGATTCCCACGCGACACTGAGTATGTTTCGATTCGTCCTCGAGGACGAGCTCAAGGAGGCTCTTTGTATCTAGTCCGCACGGTTTTTCTAATATTGGCGCGATATAAGTAGTCTTGAAATCTTCTTTACGAATCGGCTTCAATGTTTTATCGATCGGATCGCTGGTGGACCACTTTCAGGATGCCGCGGAACTATTGAAACAACTTCCATCCTGTACCAGACAACGTTACTATGATCCACCTTCCTGTCAACCAGCAGCCCCAGGCCAATAGTGTGGGCCGAAGTTCCCCGAAGTAGGAAGACTGATCTTGTTCTTGATTCGTGGAATCGGAGTACTCGAAAAACTGCGCTACAGAGTGCACCGAATATGTGCTCTATTAAAACGACCGGTGGCTTGCCTGTGAAATCTACACTTTGCCAGAATCGATCAATCTGAAGAAACCCGCCCGGTAGAGGAATCTCAAAATGGCTTGATCCTTCTTAAATCGTGAGGAATAATGCCGAAAGGACTATTATAAATCAAGGTAGAGGAATCTGGCTCCTGGTTCCAATAGATACGACCCTGGATACCTGGATGACTCGTTCCAGGCCACGATACCTTCCAGCGGCCCAGCACACGCTTCCCCCCATTTTGCCACCCTGAGCGTTTGGCCCAAGGTGGCCCGCGAGCTCTGATTGCTTTAGGTCAGCTGCCATCGCGCCTGATAGGACGGCCAGGTGGAGCGCTCACGTCTCCTCGGATACCAGACGTAACGCGAGTGTCACCGTCCATCGCTTCTGAACGCACGATATCAGGCTCTCTAATCGTTCTTTGCGCCCACTCTATACACTGGCCGTCACGGACAGTTCAGACTTAAGCCATGTCGGCTGCGCAAGTTGCGCTTCTCTCTCTTCCGCGTGTATGTCAACAAGTTCGCTCTCGATTGCTCTTTGTGCGCCGAGTCAAACATCGCGTAACGTCTCATTTCTCTGCTACGTCGGATCATACAGAGTGCGGCAGTCCGTAGAGCGAATAGCACCGTATTCTTGTCGAGATGAGCCTGAGTCCGCTCGTTGATTCTGCTCTATATCGAGATATATATAGAGCACCAGTACTATCGCCTGTATAAATTCTGATCTATCCGTCTACACAATTATACAGAAAAACGCAATATTCCTTGTCTTCTCCATCAACCATCAGATGTCGCCTCAAGATCGACGGAGCGGATCTATGCTTTGTTGTTCAATAGACTGTATTATTCCTACCTGAATCCCTTTATTACCCGGGAAAATTGTGAGCACCCGAGGTAACTGGAAAAACATAGGTGACGCCTAGATGACATAGTGATTCCTTGTCTTTCTCTCATCATTATAACCCACGTCAGTGGCGATGTCAGCAAAATGCTAAAGGCAAAAGCTGCGCGATCATTAAGATGGTCGCTAGATCTACAGCTTAGCCTGAGCGAGTGCGGAGGAAGCCAACATGAGGGAACCGGATGTCGAACCTGATGCCACCTCGTGGTTCCAGATACGCGCCGTTTGTAGCAATAAACTACGAAGACAAATCCGACGTGGAACTGACCGACAAAACATATCGACTTTATCCGCACTACTGGCAATTTGGACTGGATGAAGCCCTTCTACGGATATATTGTTGGAATTTAATCGCAAATTTTTAGTTTCTCATAAGATGTCGCATTTTTTCCAAAACGGAACGTTTTCCTCTGTGAACTAATGTTAACAATGTCATATACCATTCTACTAGAACAGTTATCTTGGGCTCTACAAGAATGTATTACCCTTAGATGTTGCAAAATTGGGTATTTAGGCATGCAAAGGGAGTTGCTGGCAAATAAATCTCAAATAACGAGACAGGAGCTTTAGGAACCTAAATGGAATTATAGCGTTATAGACTAGCATAAGCTTACATTATAATTGATCCAGAACTATAAATTAGGTCACGTCGGTTTGGCAAAAACTCGGCGTCCGAACCTCCCACTTTGCATGCCTAAAACTCAAACATTTGCAACAATCAAAAAAGGGTACATACCTTCTTGTAGAGCAGATAATTTCCTATCGAATGGTATATGAAACATTGTAAAACATTAGAGGTTCACAAGAAAAATTTCCGTTTGAAAAAATGCGCCACTACTTATGAGACAACCTAATAGAAACCAATAAGAACGACCGCTTAGACCACTAGCTGCACGCTTACTAGCCCAGCAACACCTATTACGCCATCACTTCACACACCCTCTACACTACCGTAGAGCTATCGTTCACATGAGGACGTATATTCAGGGGGTCGTCGCGGATGATCAATACAAAAGAGTTAAAGGCTAAAAGGAAACTAGTCGGATACAGTAAAAAAAGATGCCACCTCAAGCCCAACAGAACGATCAAACCGGACACGTTCCACCAGCAAATAGTTGATACACGGCAGGAAAGTCTATGGGTCTATAACCGTTGCCGTCGAAATTAATATTCAAAAGAGGCTAACCCGACCAATTCCGTAGGAGACTTGTCTATAATGCGCAGTTTTAAAAGCACAAAAAGCGACAAAAGGACGCAAAAGTCAGAAATGATAAAAAAATCTCACACAGCATGTAGAAGTCATCTAGTCCGATACTGTAGATGATAGCATGTAACCATTATCCAGGTGAAGGCTACCGGAGCGAGCGGAACAAAATCGATGCATCTCGACGTCACCGCTTTGTACTTAATTGGTATAGTGTAGCAAAGAAAGATACTGAACTAGCGTTCATGGTCTACTCGACTACATTTTTGGAGTCGAACTGTTCATTTGTTAATCTACTTCGGGTCGAAATGAATCTTTTACTCAAAGTGCATTGGAACAATATATCAAAGGAAATATTCGAATACTTACGATGAGGTAAGGGCACACGAGAGATCCAGCGATTTGTGCTGCAGATGCAATACTTCCAGTTACCTCAAATATGCTTGTTTAATGCAGAAAAACTTGCAGCTTCCCTTAGAGCACTACATATACAGGGGTGGCCAAAAAATAGGCACTTTGCTTATGGCGTTTAGTATGTGCGTCGCACAGAGTGCCGCTGTTGATAAAAGTTTCGCGGCAAAATATCCCTTAGATGTCCTCTATAAGTAGAAGCAGGCCCTCCTCACTGCCCTCACCGTCCTCAAAATATGACGTCATCTTCCATCACCGTTGAGCTCAAGAAGGCCTACCGTAATCGTTCCAGCCTGAAGCTGCTACGAAATTTCTTTAATCGGTTCACTGATAGATTGCTTCCTAGGGACAGTAGCTCTGAATATGCAAGACCCCTTCCGACCAGCTTTCAGATAACGTCGTAATGGTCCATGATCCGTCGACCTCGTTGAGCTCGAACCGTGCACAAGGTTCCCATGGCAAATTCTTGTGATGTCGTTGGTGCAGAAAGCTATTATAAGGTTTATTGATAGAATGGGATGTGCTCTTCAATATTAAGTTGGGAGCAGTCGATTTGAGTTTTAGCAAAGTGATTAATGCTGTCTGAAATGTGGAGTGGAAGCCCCTATTTGCCACCCTTGTATAGGTCCAAAATGAACCAAATCCTTGTAACATGCTGGCATCCAGCAAACAGGTGGTCCCTTTAGCGTGAAGAGTGCTTCTCAAAACGGCTTCTTCGGTACATGCTTGGAAAGCAAAAACCGGAATCATTTTATCTAAGCAGCACTAGGAAAACCGAAAAATGAGCGATTCTCACTTATGGATTCTGATAGGGCGGCGCCAAAATCCAGCACTTCAATTGGTATTGAAAGAAAAGAAAAATCAATAAAAAATAATAATCACTAAAAAACAATATCTCCCTGGATGTCTGAATCCATAAGTGTCCACTTTCCCTACCCGCATTCCTCCAGAGGTGAAAGAATTCAATCTCAGCAAATTCTTAGCTGAAATTTCATAGCTGGTCCAGCTAGCTCGTTGTGAATGTTATTGGATGAAACATTCTAACAATGCGGCACGTTCCATCTTTCTCAAATTTCGTCGCAAAAATATGGCAAAAAAATGCACCATACACAGATGTACTACGATCCCACTACTATGGGCAACTACTATTGCGCCAGCCCATCGGAGCTAGGGATGGCGTTAGGTTTTCGTGTAAAACTCCCACGTTCTGTGCTCTTGCGTAGTTGGTAAAGAATTTAAAAGCACATTGAATTTGTTGCAGTAGCGGTATGACCTTAAGTTCAAACCTGTTTTCCATCGTCTTCATTCATGCCTTGAATATAGTAAAATATAAGGAAAATCACGGTCGCTATGAGAATAACAAGTCGGATGAGACGTCGCTGAAACCAAAATGTGAGTATTGCGTACTTTTTCTTGGAACACTGCTGAGTTCTACCTTTTTTGAGCGATAGAATATCAGTGCGATCAAAAAGAAGCTCTGCATTACAACAGCGTAAGACTGTAGAAGAATGAGCTTCGTATCCTGGATGAAAATGGAGTATCGCAACCATAGTCCAGACCTGGTATTTCAACTAAATAGGATGTTCTGATATGAAGCAGACAGCATCTGTTGTTTTTGAAAGTATACCTTTTTGCATGATACACAAGGCCAGGTTAAGGGGTATGCATTCGTATCGAAGTATACCTCGGAGGTGTTAGGAATGAAAAGAAATAGTGATGATATTGGACATTCTTTGGAACCGGCTCAAAGAATTTCGGAGAGAAGTGAAGGTGTCAGGTAGGTAGGGCGGCTCGATCTGTTCCGTTGAATCTTCGTCGCAGAAAAGTAATAACTTCGTATATATGTATATGTATATCTATCTTATTGTAGTGGTGACCTATTTCAGTATATCGTTCACTACGCAATCTTTGGTTTCCTTTCGTACAATATGAAGAGGCTTTGCATTTTCAGACGCGACAATGAACGAACATTTTTCGCTCGAACTTCGTTGTTCGTGGTTGCTGAACGATGTACTGCAGTAGGTCACCACTACAACGGAAGCGGAAGTGGTGTAGTGACAAGTGGCACGCTTACCACGCGAGCGGTCCGGGATCAAATCCTGGGTCGTGAGTCGCCCGGGCCAACCAAGCCTTCCATCCCTCCGGGGTCGGTTAATTGGTACCAGACTTGTCTGGGAGGATAAAAAACACTGACTTGTACATCGGCTGGCCCCCGCAAGTCATTGTATAGGCCACATCGCATTCAAACGCCACTACGAATGTACAAATGGAAGTAGAATGCGTGCCGCATCCCAAAAAGGGATCAACGGCAAATGCTTTATCTTTTTATCCCCCGCACTGCTCGTACAACTGATTGAGCAGTTAGCGAAATCTTTAGCGAGCCATCAAGCGGAAAGATCTACCAAATATTGAGTTTTTGATTTGTTTTGCTTTGTTTACTGCTGTTTGTCGCCGTAGGTTATTAATGGTTGATGTTATTTCTTCCAGGCAATCCAAAAGAGACAAATGGCAATAACAAACAAAACAAGTTGTGCGACTGTCTAATAAAAACTACGACTTTCAAACTTTTAGCGTATTGGGAGGGTCCATAGACGGCTCATGACCCGTCACAATTTCAAAACTCCAGGATTTTAACAGTTAGCGCTACCACCGTATCAAGTGAATCCATGCGGACCACTCCCTAGTTCCACGGTCGAGCACTTGCTCTCATTCTATGTTATCAAATATAGCGATATTGTTGCAGTTTCACTTGAGGCATCACCCTAGTTCCCCCATGTTGTTATCGAGCTGTAACTAAGCTGCTACTTTTTCCTAAATTTCAAGGATTCTTGCCTCGAATCGCTTGCGAATGAGCTAATCGGCACCCGAGTTAGGAGATAGCTCAAATAACATTCTTATAAGCGATACCCATCCAGAAAGTCCTCGATTCAAATAGAATAGAAATCTAACCCAATAACGGCACACAGATATGGCAAGCAAGTGTCACTGTCGCTACTTTGACGCCGATACCACTTCAGCACTGCTTGCCTGTAATAATGTGCACTATATTGAAGGAAGCGCGACAGTTAATTTTGACAATAAAAATACTTACATAGGACTTGTAATGAGAGCGATAGCATGTAGAGCAGTTGAGGTTAGAAAAAGGCTCCATAGAAGATTTGAGGTATATAGTGCAACAATGTTTGAAATTGTCAATTCCATCTACAGTATTCCTAAACATAAAATAATCAATTCAAGAGAGCCTGATTAACGATGGTAAGTGCTGATTCTGCTGACGAGCAGATGAAGAAAGGCTGTTCACCAAGCGATGTGAGGAATCAATGCGCGTTCCTATCTACGGTTGCCATCTTCAGCTCAAACGCACAGGAACTTGGTCAACGCCAATGGTCACGGAACCGGATTTAGTAGCATCGCAATGTTAGTGGACACAGATCTACTTTCGCTGTAACCATTATACGTTCCCCTTGAGAACCCTGGATCTTCTGCTCTTTGAAAACACTCAA